GGAATAGTAAGTGTGTGTGTCTTTCTGGTTTGACTATTCTTTCGGGGACACTTTGGCCTGATGTGGATATTTGGTAACATTAGATTTATGGATTCAAAGACCTGAGTGTGTGTGTTGGTGTAATTGTGCAAACCAAACCAGAACCAGAATTTTCCCAGAATTCCTCCAGCTCCACGAACATCAACACTGTTTTAGTTGGATTCATTTTGTCAGTGTTGTGGTTGTGTTCACATCCTTCATCTGTCACACTTCTGTTCATTTGTTAAAGCTTCATATCATGTGAGACAGTACCTATGATTTGACATCACTTTTGTTTGTTTGTTTGTTTGTGTTCCCTCTGAACTGTGACGTCTGTGTAAAGGAAATGAAAACATACTTTTTTTAGCCAAATTTTGACCTTTGTCCTCTTCCTGTGACACACCGTCCCAGTTCAGAGGGTCAGTGCTTCTGTCCTCCGTCATCCACCCTCACCTGACCATTACCTTCCCTCCTGCCCTTCCCATCAGCCCCTTCAGCTCCTCCCCAGGACGTGCGTTTGCTCAGCCTCAGCTCCACCAGCATCAAGGTGAGCTGGGTGGCACCACCCAAAGACAGCCACCATGGGGAGATAGTGAGCTACTCCCTGGCCTACCAGGCAGTCGCAGGAGAGGACACGGAGCGCCACCTGGTGTCAGGAATTGCTCCGACTGAAACCAGCTACACGCTGACGGACCTGGAGAAGTGGACGGAGTATATGGTGTGGGTGGGGGCTCACACTGATGTTGGGGCCGGTCCAGAGAGCCCAGAGGTCCGGTGGCGAACCTTGGAGGATGGTATGTTGATGATGTCACTGGTTTCCTGGAAGAATAGTCTTCCTTGACTTCTGTCTTCTCCGTTGATGGACTTCAAACTGAGCTCTTTAGGCTTTTCTTCTTTCCTTCTGTGAATTTTTACTTCACTCTGCACCTTTTTTTACATTACTGCCACCTTCTGTTCATATCTTTATCCTCTGACCTTCAGCCTTTTTTCTATCAGGATTCTTTCATGAACAAGTTTCTGACTCCTGACTGTTTTAAGTCCTGTTTATAATCCCTGGTGCATCTTCAGATTATAGTAAAAAAAGAAAAAAAGGGGGAAAGAAAGAAAGAAAGAAAGAAAGAAAGTTTGGAAGATTCTAGAAGAAAAAAGAACTCATGGGAGTCAAAAAGGACAAAGAAAGAGAGAAAGGAAGGAAGAGAAATGTTTGTCTCTCCCTGATGTCTCGTCTGTCTTTATCCCAATAATGGAGACACAGCTGCTGGATTAGGTGTCCTGAGAGTTGGCTAAGTGGCAACAAGACACTCTCTCAGCGTCCTGAGTCAGACAGCAGGTCTCAGCCTCTACACCGGGTCACATGGTCCACAACCATTCTGCTGTCTCGCCTCGTCTCGTCTCCCTCCTCTCCTCCTCTCTGTCCTGTCCTGTCCTTTCAGGTGTGACTCAGACAGCATCACAAATTTTCCTTATCCAAACAGGATTCATGTTGGTTTATAAAGACATAATTGTCCACATTATGACAAATGAGGACAGAGACACTCCAGCTCCTCCCTCTGGAGACACTGGGGAAAATCAAACTATCTCCTGGACCATGTCAGACAGGACGGAGTGGAGCAGCTGTGACTCTGACTCCTTTCTTCTTCCTCTTCATCAGACAGTCCACTGTCATGTGTCACGGCTGGTGGTGTCTGGACTCCTTCAGGTGTCCTGGACCAATCAGTTCTCTGTGGTCATGGACTTTTTTTCTTCCAAGCAACAACTTTAACTTGTCTGTCAGCGAAAACTCCTTCACTTCAACCATGTGTAGTTAAATGAAAAGTCTGAATTTTCCATGTGTTCGATCGAGGCATCTCATTCTGTCTGGTGTTCCATCCTCATCACATCCTGCTGCCAGTGGCAGCTGCTGCTCTGTGAAACAGGTGAAGCTCATTTAAGGTCCAGTTATTTTAAAATAAACTCTCCTGCATTGACAGTACTGCAGAAACAAGAGGAACCAATGAAAAAGACATCCTTTCAATTCAAATACATTAAGTCAATTTTTTTTGCACAGTTCCATGTCCAGCAGATCCAGACTCAGAGAGTGCAGCCTCCAATTTTGGCAAAGAGTGGAAGGGGAAAATGGGAGAGACAGCAGAGGGGGAGTAAAAACATGTCCTCAAACTAATGGCACTGCTTCAGTGAAAGAGATGTTTTTTATGTAATTTATCCAATCAGCATCAAGAAGGTTCGAGGTCAGAGTTGATCTGTTTGGACAGTTGAATCTATATTAACTGCTCATAGACAGTAGTTGTTTGTGTTTTACACATTAGGTCGATTCAAGCAGTAAATGTTTGATTATTTTTTCCATGACATTTTAGAAGAGTCTGAGCTTCGTTTTCTGTCGCCGCTGCTGCTGCTGCTGCTGCTGTGGCTCAGCTGCTTTGTTGTTGTTTACTTTAACCTCAGAGGAAGGGTCCTCTGCACAGACCACTGTCCTCCTCCATCT